CGCTGCGCTGCCCATCGTGTATCCAGGGCAACAAGCAACAAGTCCATCAAACTGGGGCGCATACGATCGCTGTGCTGCCCATCGCTATCCAGGGCAACATGCAATAAGTGGTTCGCACCAGAAAATCATTCTAAAAAACGCGACAGCGAGACCGAGGCCTGCAGCAAGCACGCCTTACGCTGTGAGCGTGGTGGTTACTAACGCATCGAGAGTAACCCTGCCAAACAAAGACAACCCAGACCCGTTTCTCTTCGCCTGCTGGGGCCAGGCCCCTCGCCCCCGCCTGGACCAAAAAGATGAAACTGAGCGCATGCTCGCCTGAGAATATGCTGGCCAGCGTGGGCCCCAAACGGTGTTTTTGGTAAAACTACGCTGTGCAGTCTACGTGGGGGCAACGGATGTGGTGCAACCTACGCCGCGGTGCAATCATGGTGGCGCAGTCGACGTTGTTCAAGCAACGATGTGCCATCTATGGTGCAGGAGTCGTGGAACCATTTAGGTGGTGCAATCTAGGTTGTGCAATACACGTTGTGACATATATATATATATATATATATATATATATAGATAGCCCGCCCTGAATCAACGAGTGCCAGAACAGAAATGATGACAGCAACCGACGTGACCGACGATAGGCACCCGCTTCTTCTTCATCATATGTGTGAAGCACGAGCCAGGCGCCGGCAAGATGGACTGCCGGGACGAGAGGTACAGGCATTGACCACCGAAACGCGTAGCGGGCGAGGCACATTCAGATGAGGTCCCACAGAAGCGGGACGAAATTAAAGGATTCAAGTGAGGGCGGCATGTGGGTGGGTGCACTTGAGCACAGATGCCAGCGGCAAGCACGGGCTGGCATTCGGAAGTGCGGCACTCTCCACCCAGGGCTCTGCATAACGTTGTGAAAACTGCCCAGCCCGCCATGATTCAACGAGTGCCAGAACAGAAAGGATGACAGCAACCGACGTGACCGACGATGGGCACCCGCTTCTTCTTCATCATATGTGTGAAGCACGAGCCAGGCGCCGGCAAGATGGACTGCCGGGACGAGAGGCACAGGCATTGACCACCGAAACGTGTAGCGGGCGAGGCACATACAGATGAGGCCCCAAACCCCATACGGAAGGGCTGGCCAGGGAGCTGCAGCGACAGGGCCGAAAGTTATATAAGGCAGTTCGAAGAGATTAGGAAGGCGACTTGCATACTAAGTCAGCCATGGCCTGCCTAGGTCTTTGCAACACAGCGTCCCTGACAATTCTAGCCAACACCATGCTCAGTCCAGCGGGGTAGGCGGCAGCCAGCGCGGTGTATTTACAGCCCTCAGGGGCCTGGCCAGTGAGAATTGCGCGCCTGTCGCCGGTGCGAGAGCAAATCCCCCTGCGGCCCTGACAGAGCCGATCAAGCCCTAAAAGCGGCCCTGTCTGCCAAGCCACGATCCTGGCGCGCTTTTTCCAGGAGGTCCCGAATTGGCATTGATCAAAATCACACGCACGGGCGTTCTTTGAGATAATGAGGGGCGCAAGCGGCTCGGCATGCCACATCAAAGAGCTAGTGGGATTTTCCAGCAGCGCTGGCATGTTAAGCATGCAGCACAAACGGATGACGCGGCATGCGAAATAAAAGGAAGCGTTGCCCGCGGCCAGCCTCGAGGCCTCAGAGGTCGAGAGGCCGTCGATGCCCGTGGCCTGGGAGCGCGTCCTGAGCGGCTTCCGAAGGGCCCGCGACCACGTCGTGCACGGCGCGCCGAAGAAGACTGCCGCGACTGCGCGGCTGCGGAGCCAACCAGTCACTACCCGTTCGAAATCACGGCAAAGGTGGTCTTCCAGCGGCGAATGTCGCACGTCCAAGCCGAGCGCCGAGAGGCCCAGTCGGCGGGCGGCCGCTGTGAAATGCCCGCTCCCGCTGAAGAGCCCCAGCACGACGCGCCGCCGGCACAGGGAGCCGCGGCTGACGGCAGCTCTCAAGCGTCGCCACAGGTGATCGGCACGCTCCGAGCCCCGCAGGGGCGGCTGGGCGCTCAGGCGCGGCCCGGCGGTCGCCGCCCCACCCGCCCGGGATTGCTGCCCGGCCCGGACAGGACGGAGGGCGCCAGGCCGGCTGGGATGAGCTGCTGCGCGACCAGGTCGCCGAAGGCGTACACGTCTGGGTGGACTCCCTGCAGCTCGCGCAAGAGGGCCGTCTCTTTGGCGCACCGCCTCATTGACGATGGCACAGCCCAGCGTCCTCGTCGGAAGACTTGTTCTTGCGATCTCCGCTGGGTCAGCAAATCGTCGCTCACTCCGCCGCGTCGCATGCCGCACAGGTGAGGCCGCAGCTGCGATATCCCAAGCGCCGCAGCTGCCAGAGCGAACATCCTGTTCAGCTCTGAGAGGGAGAAGCTCCACAGCGGTGTCCCTGGACCCCCTCTGCAACGGAGGGCCATGAGCACTGGTACCAGGTACAGGTCGAAGTCGAGGAGGATAGACTCGTCGAAGGAGCCCGTCTTGCCTGCCTGACCGCGATCCGCCGAGCGCAGCAGCAGGCCCCAAAACTGGCATGCTGCCCCTGCCAGCGCTGACGGCTGCACGACGCTGTCCGTCGTGAGTCGCCGAGCCTCGGCGGGCCAGAGGTACGCCGAGAACGCGATCGCCAGCCAGGCCGCCATGGGCGCCTGCTGCTAAGCAATCATGACGCCAGCCAGCGCAAACATGACAGCCCGAGGGATCGGCAACCGAGTGAGGGTTGGGGTTCGCCTCCGCCACGCCTGCATCGCTCGCGAGGCGCGGAGCAAGAGCGAGCTCACCTGCCTCGGGAGACCGAGAGTGCAATGAGCCAGTGCCGCGACCGTCTGCGACCCGACGCTCGCCGCCGCCCCCGAGATGCACCGCGAGGTGAAGTACTCGGCGAGCAGGTTGTCTAACTCGCCCAGGTTGCCCCAGTCCGCCGCCGGTCTGAGCAGTACGCGATGAACGTCTGCAGGAGCTGGCGATAGAGGCCCTCCGTGGTCGGCCGCGCCGCCAGCTGCTCCAGGAGCGTCAAAGAGCCCGCAAGTGTCCGCCCGCGCGCCGCAGCCGACGCCAGCTTCGCGCGGTGGTGCGTCCGGGCTGAGGGCGCAGGCCCCGTCCGCCGCGGCATGGCCCGCACCTCGAGCAGGGGCCCGAACAGCAGCACGAGCACCACGGCGCCCATGGCGGGCCCTCGCGTGGCTGAGCTGACGATGGCCGTTGAACCAGCCGAGCTTCCCTCGGCTGAGGGCATCAGCTGGGTCGCGCTCTGAGGCAATCCAGCGCACGAAGAGCTTCGAGCCCGTGGCGAGCGACAAAGCACACAACTGATTCAGGCACGACCGCAAATGCAATGACCGAGCCCCCCCCTTCGCGCAAGCGAGAGCTAGTGGGAGGTTGTCGACGAGCGCGACCAAACGAGCCCCATGAGCGCCCAGACTGCGGAGCTGATGCCGATGCGAAGTGACCAGCGCCCCCCCCCCCTCCAGGTAGAGCACGTTGGCCCCCGTAGAGACCGACTGGGCTGATACCGAGCTCCAAGCGCCCTCCCGAGTAATATGACCAGGGGTCTCGTCCATCTCCCAAGGGTCGCCCAAGACCGCAGCAGCATGAGCCCAAGTGGCGCCACTGGGAGACTGAACGAGCACCTCGTTGACCCCCGTGAGCTCCTCGTAGGGGTCCCCGTGCTGGCCCATGGAGTAGTAGGGGTCCTCGTGCTGGCCTGCGAGCTCCGCGCGAGGGTCCACGCGCAGGCCCATGAGCTCCCGGCGGGGGTCGTCGCGTCGGGCTTGCCGAACACAGCGGTCCTTGAGTGCACCCGAAGGCGGCGGACACACAGGGAAACCCGCAGGGCTGTCATGTTGGATGTCTGACTTCAATCGCTCCGACGTAGGAAGAAAGTCAGCAATGGCAGCATTTTCTCGCACAGGGCTGAGCTGGTCTAGACCGCCCTCTCGCAGTGACCGAAGGCGGGCCTGGTGCCCGCCCTCAACTTTGAACCTCCACCTCTCTGAACAACGGCCAATGGCGGCACAGGCGGGGCGCGGGGCGCGGCGGCGCATCACCCCGAGACCGAAAGGCGAGGCATCGCTGGCAGTCATCGCGCGATGCCAGCTCGAGGCGAGGTCGCAGGACAAGAGGGGAAGCAGGTCTCGAATAGTGACCAGCTCCTTCGCCGCCGACGGCCATATCCTGCCCTGCCTCTCGCCGTAAGCCGCCACGAAGCTGTAGACGCGCTGGAGAACAGCGAGGGCCTCGCGGCGCATCATCGATGTCCAGGCGACGTGCCCCAGCACTGCCCGCCTCACGTCGCCACTGCACCAGCCCCGGCGAAGAAGCCCAGAGATCGCCGCGTGCAGCCGCCAGATGTTGAGGCTTGATGCGCAAAAACCTCCCGTGCTTCAGGCTGAGAACCAAGAAGTCCGCGCCCAAGGCGGCGGGCTCGATCTCGTGCACTGGCAGCCCTCGGGCGCGAAAGGCAGACACAAGCTGCGCCATGACCCGGTCGACCGCGCTCTTGTCAGCGCCGAACGCCAAGATGTTGTCGACGTAGGCGCCGACGCCAACGGAGACGGGGCCCGTGACCACAACGCCCGGCTGGCCGTCCGGCGCGGCCATGACCCTCTCACGTCCGCTCGCAGCTAGGACTGCGCGCGCTGCAGACTGGCAGAAGTGCAGCGCCCACGAGAAACCCATCGGGAGAACAGTGACCATGGGCGCCACGCGCGTGGACGGGTCGAAGTCCAGGTCGATCAAGCCCATCTCCTGTAGCATGGCCACAGAGACAGAAGGTAAGGTAAACATGGGCTCCATCCCGCAGGGCAGCCGCATGCGGTAAAAAAGCGCACTCCAGGTCGCACGTTGAGATGAACATGCCATTGGCAGGGGCCTTGATGGACCCAAACGACGCGGCCGAAGGAAGCCTGGTAGCTGGCGAATCCAAAAACTTGCAGTTGGCGGCCCTCGTGTCGAAGATGATTCGGAGGGCCCCCGACTTCTTGGGGGCGAAAGAGAGGCCGGCGGAATGCGGGAGGCCGTTGTCCTCCGCGAAGGTGGCCATCTGCCTCTGGTACATCTGACTCAAAAACTCGCCGTACATACTCGCATCACGAACCAGGCTCGGATCGCAGTAGGGCCCGCGTGGGCAGGCAGACTGCGCCAGGGCCTCGGCGGCGCGCCGATCTCGAAGCATATGGCTCCGCCATCCCTCCAGCCATGCCCTGTCCTGAGGCTGCACAAGGTCGATCAGGTCGACGGGCGCAGCACTACCAGCGGGCCATGCGACACGATCGCGGACGCAAGGGGATGGCGAGGCGGCGCCAGACCCGCACAGCTTGGCGCAGGAGAGGAGCTCTCGGAGGGCTCCGTCTTGAGCAGCACGGTTGTCGGTGAACTCGGGCGGCGGTGGCCCCAGCTCCCTGATGCTGTTCTCGATGTGCATGATGGCTTGGCGCTGCCCCCCATGTGCCGGAGCAGTGGGCGAGGACTCAAAGCCATAGAGTGAATTCAATGCATTAGTGGCGGCCCGCACGCGGTCCTCACGATGGGCTCGAAGACCGCTGCGCCGTGCTGAGCGGCGGCCGACAGGCTCCACCCCTCGCGGAGCTGCAGCCGGCGAGATCGGCAGCGGGAAGATGTCGCGCTGGCGACCAGCTCCCAGCTGCCGAGGGCCTCCGGTCTGGGCCGCACTGCTGTCCCAGGGAGGGGCTGGCCCATCTGCCCCCCCCCGGCTCGTCTCAGGCATCCCCGCTGGGGGTTCCGCCGCCCCCACGACCTCGACGTCCACGGGCGCGACCGCCACGACCGCGGCCGCCGCGCCCGTCGCCACCGCCTGAACCAGCAGCGCCAGTCCCAGCAGCCATCGCACGCTCCTCCCGCGCCTTGCGCCTCTCCTTGGCGATGGCGGCCTCACGAGACTTCTCGGCCGCTAGCCAGTCGCGAAGCGCAGGTGCCATGCAGATGATGCCGCCGGCGTCCTGGACGCCCGAGAGCAAGGCAGCGTCGTTGCCGTGCTCGGAGGACGGCGCAAACCTGTCTCGGTAGAGCTCCTCCTGGGTCTGCAAGGCGCGGCCGACCAACTCCACGGAGGCCAAGTTCGTCGCATGAACTTGATCATATACCACGCTGTACTCGAGCAACCTGCAGCACAGAAGATGCACGTCGACGCCAAGGTCCTCCTCGTCCAGGTACGCCTCGGCCTTCCACTTCAGATGCCGTCCGAGTGGCGTACCTCCATTGCGGCATACAAGTTCAGCACCCACAGCAGAGTGCGAGGGCCCTTGAGGGGCCAGTCGGCCCACGGCAACTCGTGCATACGCAGCACCGCAGCCCTGAAGTCAATGTAGCGAACCCCCTGTGGATCCAGGATGACTGCCTGCATCCTCGCGTCGCCACCTGGGGCTGCCGCAACCGCTGCCAGGGCGTTCGCCAGGCCGCCCGCGCCCAGCCCCGGCGCAACGGGCGCTCCAGTCAAGGCGCCCGGCGGGGCGGCGGCTGGGGCAGCGCCAGCGGCAGGGCCTGCGGCCGGAGGGGCGCCCACTGCTGGCGCCGTGGCCATCGGCGCCAGGGCGCCTCCTGGCGCGGCCGCCGCGGGCGCCGGGGCGGGCACCAAGGCGCCGCCGGCGACTCCACCAGCAGCGGCTTCCCCCACCCCAGGCGCCCCCCCTCCGAGCGCCGCTGCGAGCCCCGCCAAGCCCCCAGCCGCTGGGCCGCCTGCCGCGCCTCCAGCGGCGGGAGCAGCCGCTGCGACGCCGACGCCGATGATCACGCGACCGGCGGTGTTCAGGGCGACTGGGGGGCCTGGGGCCAAGCCGAGTGACGCTCGGGTGGTGCTGGCGGCTTCCGCCACGGCGGCGGGCAAGGGCAGCGCCCGGAAGCGGTACACCTGATCGGCGCCTGTAGCTGCAGAGGCACCCCCCGCAGCACCCCCCGCGGGGACACAAAAGCCGGCGACGTCAATGCCGCCGGTGGTGATTGCCTCGACGTACCCGTGCCCGTCCGGCGTCAGGATGCCCGTGCCGAAAGGGGGGGGGCCTGGAAAGCCAGGAGGGGGCGCTCATGCCAGATCCGCGCTCCACCCACCTGGTACCTGATCAGCACGAAGTCGCCCTCGTCCAGCCCGAGGGTGGCGAGGGGATGGCCTGCGGCGGCCGCGGCTGCCGCGGACATTGGGTCACTGGCTCTGCAGCCGCGCCCTCACGAGGGCGACCTGTGCACGGGCCTCCTCTTCCTCGAGCCTCTCGACTCGGCGGGTCGTCTGGATCGGCGCCGCTGGCACGAGCAGCCGCCCAAGGGCCGCGCCTGCTCCGACCCCGCACACCAGGGCCAGCAACACGGCGGACAGCGGCCAGGCCCCCGTCGACGCCGGGCAATCCAGCCTCAAGGCCTCCTGCCCCGTGCCGCACACAAGCGATGGCTTGCAGGTGCACGGCGGGCACTCAGTCCGCGCCGCCCACAAGAGAGCCCCCTGCGACACGGTGTGCAGGGCCTCCTGCGCGAGCCATCCGCCGAAGCTCATCGAACGGCCTTACTCAATGCACTTGAGCACAAATGCCAGCGGCAAGCACGGGCTGGCATTCGGAAGTGCGGCACTCTCCACCCAGGGCTCTGCATAACGTTGTGAAAACTGCCCATATATTATATGATATATTATATAATATATATTATATGATATATATGTGTACGTTATGTATGTCTGTCCCCTGTCTGTTCCTGTCTGTTCCTTCTGTATGTATGTATGTATGTATGTATGTATGTATGTATGTATGCATTTATGTATGTATGTATGTATGTATGTATGTATGTATGTATGTATGTATGTATGTATGTATGTATGTATGTATGTATGTATGTATGTATGAGAGAGCGTGATTCACCGCCGCTTTACTGTGGAAAATTGCCAACCTTTTCCTCCGGAGCCCGGGGGGCCTCCCCCCCCCGCCCCCCCCTCGAAAATTCCCCCCCTGCCCTCCGGAACCCCCCCCCCCCCCCCCCCCCCCCCCCCCCCCCCCCTCCCCGGCAAAACACCCCCCCCCTCCCCTAAACCCCCCCCCCCCCATTCCCCCCTCCCCGCTCGAAAAACCGGGGGGGGTCACTACCGGTTTTCGAACCCTTCCCCCCCCCCCCCCCCCCCCCCCCCCCCCCCCTCCGGATCCGGAAAACCGGGGGGGGTCACTACCAACTACCAGTTTGATCGAAACCCCCCCCCCCCCCCCCCCCCCTTCCCCTTTCCCCCCCCCCCCTACTCACCGCCAGCAAACGACTCCCGGTCCCCACCACCGTCCGCATCACATCCCCCACTGGTGTTCCCAGCACCACTGTCCTCACCACCGCTGTCCCCACTGGTTCCACCACCGCCCCTACTGTCCCCACCAGTGGCCCCACCACTGTCGCAATGTCTCCACTGTTCCCACCACTGTTCCCACCACGGTTCCACTCTCCCCACTGTCTCCACGGCCCCAACCACTGCCCGACTATCCCCACTGTCCCACTGACTCCTCCGCTGTCCCATTGAGCTGTCCCACTGTTCCCACCACTGTCCCCACTGTCCCCACCACTGTCCCCACTGTACCTCTGTCCCATTGTCCCACCGCCGTCCTCGCCACCGCTTTCACCACTGTCCCCACCACCATTGTACCCTCCACTGTCCCACTGTTTCCACCTCGTTCCCATTGTCCCCACACCACTGTCCCCACCACCACCGTCACCACCACTGTCCACTGTCCCCCCCTGTTCCCACCATTGTCCCCACCACTGTCCCCACCACTACCGTCCCCACCGCTGTCCCACTGTCCCACTGTCCCCACCACTGTCCCGCTATCCCCTCACCACTGTCCCCACCACTGTCCCACTGTCCCCCCACTGTCCCCACCACTGTCCCGCTGTCCCCTCACCACTGTCCCCACCAACACCGTCCCCACCACTGTCCGCACCCCCACTCGGTTTTCGAGGGGGGTGGGGGGGGGGTTCGAACCGGTAGTGACCCCCCCCCCCTTTTCATGATGAGCTGGGGGGGGGGGAGGGGTTCGAACCGGTAGTGACCCCCAGCGGTTTGGGGGGGGGGGGGGGAGGGGTTCGAACCGGTAGTGACCCCCCCCGGTTTTCCGCCAGCAGCGGTAGAACACGCTCTTTCATATATATGGGGGGGGGGGGGGGGGGGGAGGGGTTCGAACCGGTAGTGACCCCCCCCGGTTTTCCGCCAGCAGCGGTAGAACACGCTCTTTCATATATATGTGGTGCAACCTACATGGTGCGCAATCGATGTGGCACGACCGACGTGGTGCAATCTAGGTGGCGCACTCTGTGTTGTGCAATCGGAGATCTACGTGATTCAATACATGTGGCAATCCACAAGTTGGTTTGCAAAACCCATGCTGCGGCGATTGCGGTTTGGAGCTGGCTGGCACATCGCTGCGGCGGAGCTACCGCACGCAAGCTCGCGCGCAGAGCGGCCAGTTAGTCTGGCACGACCGACGCGGCCGCGGGGGCGCTGACCGCTGGGCATTCCACAGCGCGTCTCGCAGGCCGCGCTGGCGCGCGGGCACTTCTGTGCGAGTCGGTGGTTCGGGCGGGGGCGGTATCATGACGACGTCGACAACGGCGGACACTATGATGATAGCAGCGACGCGGGTGACGATGACAATGACGACGGCAAGGCCAATGACGGCGCCGAAGCGAATCACGCCGATGACGATGATGATGTCCACGTGTCGGTGATGAAAATCCCAGAAGAATTTAGACATGCGAGCGCGGCCGACGCGCGCGAGTGGCCGGCATAGTGTTATTTGACAATGATGGTGTCCCCCCGCACGCGCGCAAATGCGTTCGAATTAGCGATGGGGCAGAATCGGGTGCAAACTGCACAGCCCCACGGGGTACGGATAACCCCCGAGGGCGGGTAGATCCAAATCCCACCAGCCCTCTGGGCGTAGGTGGTCTAGAACAGATCCTCTTCCACCCCTCCCTCTTCCCCCTTGGGGAGGGGTTTACCCCTCCCCCTACCCCCTCCCCTGGACCTGGACGGGGGGGGCCGCGGGTAGTTAGAGCGTCCCAGATGGCCCAAGACGGCTCCAAGAGCGCCTCAGAGAACCCAAGATGAGCTCCAAGATGGCTCAAGATAGCGCAAGATCGCTCGAGATGGCTCCTAAGATGGTTCCAAGAAGCCCAAAGACGGCCCCAAGATAACTCCAAGTGGCCAAACAGCTCCCCAAGGAGGCCCCGAAGAGGCCAAAATCGTCCCAAAACCTAAGGAAAATCAATGATTTTTGCTTTCTCGCCTTTTCGCTTCCGATGGCCATCCGAGGCCTGGAGATGGTTCCAAGATGGCCCAAGAGGGCCCCAAGAGAGCCCCAAAAGAGCCCCAAGACGGCCCCAAGAGCGCCCAAGAGCACTCCAAGAGCGTTCCAAGAGGGGTCCAAGAGGCGATTTTAGGGGCTTCCGAGGGGGGGCGCTAATTAAACCCCCCCTCTTGTTTGATCGATCTCCTCCAAGATGGCCCCAAGAAGCGCCCAGGAAGCCCCAAGAGGTCCCAAGATGGCCCCAAAATGGCCCCAAGAGGCCCCCAAGAGGCCCCCCGGAGGCCCCCAAGAGACCCCCAAGAGGCCCCAAGAGCCCCCCCAGATGCACCCAAGATGCTCCAAGAGGCCTCGGCGAGAATGCCTAATCATTGATTCTACACAGGTTTTAGCCACATGGAGGCCTCTTGGGGGGGGGCACGGATTAAGATGACTCCAAGAGCGTCTGGGAGAGCCCAAAATGACCTCCAAGATGGCTCAAGATATCCCAAGATGTCTCATAATGGCTTCCTCTGTGTGCTGCCCACTTCTCTGATCGAGGCAATTCCTCTGGGCATCGTTTCTGGATGGGCTGGTGGGGATTCGCGAAGCGACAACAATTCCTTTGTAAAAATGCAACCCTATGTGGTGCGGCGACGAAGCGGCGGCGGGGCGGCCAAGGCGAGCACATAGCCGCCAGACCACCAGGCCCAGACGACGAGCGGCGACGAGGCGGCGATGGGGCAGCAACGGCCAGCACGGAGCCGCCAGACCGCCAGCCAGGCCCAGCTCCTCAGAAGAGAAGTGCGAACCCCTAAGTGCAAGTACTCTTCGGGGAGTAATATAATTGAGTAGCGCTGGCCGCCGACGCTCCGATGGCGCGCACAAAAGGGATAGTCGGGGCCGACGAGAAGGGCGATAGTCAACAGAAAGTTAACGAGTCGGCTCACGTAGGCGGTTTGACTGGCGCATCGCGGCGACTGGAGGCGCCAGTGTGTCGAAGGAAGGCGCCCAGCGGCGGGGCCGGCACCAGCTGCCTGCAGCAGATGCCGAAACCCCTCCCTCTTTCCCTATCCCCCCCACGGTTGGTCCGACCCGAAATAATGGATGCCTCTGCCAATCGGCGGCTGCAAAACGGGCGGATAGCCCTGGGGAGAACACTACATGTGTCCACGGGTTCTGGGCGGCCACACCTTCGGCGAATACAGCAATCAAACAAACAAGTCTTGAGGAAAACGGGTCCTGGACTCCAGGGCCTTCCCTCAGGAGCAGCTCTTCGTCCTGTATCGATGTCGGACAGCCCCCGTGCCCACGAAGGGCCCCGAAAAGCCGAAAATCATCAAAAACCGCAGGACCGTTTCCCTCAAGACCCGTTCTTCATAGCGACAATGCGCGTAACGCCCGCCCCTGGGCCATCCACCCCTCTCGCACCCGCCGAGCTGAAACGGGCAGCACCACTCAAAGACTCCCCTTCCCTTCTTCCAAGGCAATAGGCAATCCCTATGGGGGAACGCACGGGGAGGCTACAATATCGGCATGGACTCGGCGATGCATCGCCGATGCATCGGCGATAGCCCCCGAGAGCGAAATCGCACGTTCCTGGGCGGGGTGGGCCATCGGGCCCCAACGATGCATGGGCGATTGGGGGTCGATGCAGCTGCATCCCCCCCTGAACTTTTTCCCACCTAGCGTTGCCCCGGTTTTCGGGCGATGACTCAAATCTCCGACGGCCGTTCTGGACGATCTGGGCACCCGCTGAAGGCTCTCGGCGAGGCGCAGCTGCTGAAGCGCACCCCGAAGCACACCACGGAGAAGCGACGAAAACGCCCGAAAGCCTCGGACCTCGAACTGAACACCTCGAGAGCCTATCCCCCCCCGACATTGCCCCTAAGCCCCCCTCGCCCAACACACAACTTGCGTCGGTGGCTGGGCAAAGGAAACTGCTCTGGCGATCGGGCATCAGTAAGGCGCGCTAGATGCAAATTGGACCGCGATGCACGTGAGAAGAGGAGGACACCCCGGCGCGACGAGAAAGGGGAAGCCGGGCCCGCTCAGGCAAGTCACCGGCTGCGGCGGAGGGAGCGCCGAGGCGGGCCAGCCGCGGCGCCAGGCAGCAGCTGGGGGGGGGGGGCGGCAGCCCAGCGGCGGCCGGGCAAATTCAGATGGGGAAGCAGAAACACATGGGCAGGGATCGAGCCCAGACCAGTCGCGAAGACCAGCCTTGACGTCCGAGGGGGCTGACGTC